CTGAACACTCTGATCTTTTCATCTTTTTGAGGTTATAACAAAGGGTTTTATATTAGCACACACAGCCTTTTCTCTGTTGCCTGTTGTCAGGAATAATCTCAGCTTCAGAGTAGGTTTGGAAGGTAAAACAAGAATACATTTTGGGCATATCAGATTTGAAGCAGTGGGATGTGTGAGTTTGCAGTTCAAGAGAGAAGTCTAGCCTGGAGATATTAACTGGTATTAGTCAGCATATTAATGGCACATAAATTATATTGGATAAATTGAGATCACCTAGAAAGTATACACATGCTAGAAATCCTGTTTAGCTCATCACATAAGAAGTTCATTACTTAGGAGTGCTCTCCTCCTAACTGCAGGACAGAATTTTCCCAGGCTTTCTGCCACCACATAACAGTGATCCTCCTATCTCTAGTTTCCAATAACATGTTCACTAATTTCTTGTGAGTCCTCACCAATCACATCTCTAACATCTCTATTTCAAGGTTTTCTAGTCTTTTTTTCAATCAGGCTCCTCAAAATTTTTCCAGCTTCTCCCCAGTTCCCAATTCGAAAGCTACTTCCACATATTTAGGTATTTGTTTTGACAGCATTTCACTTCCAGGTACCAAAATCTGTATTCAGTTTTTTAAACTGCTGTGTACAAATTTACCACAAATTTAACAGCTTACACAATGCTCATTTATTAACTCAGAATCCTCTAAGTCAGAAGTCCACCATGGTATGTCTGGGATCTCTGTTTATGACATCACAAAGCTGAAATCAAGGTGCTGACAAAAGCTGAAATCAAGGTGCTGACAAAGCTGAGTTCTCCTTTGGACACTTCAGAGAAAAATCTGCTTCCAAGCTCAGTCTTGTTTTTGCAGAATTCAATTCCTTACAGTTATAGGACTATAGGTTATAGGTTCTCATTTCCTCTCTGGCTATCAGCCAGAGTTACTCTCACTCAACCCCTAGAAGTCACCCATATTCCTTACCAGGTGGCTTCCTCAATCTTTAAGCCAAGAATGGTAGGTCATGTTCTTTTCATGTTCCAAATTTCTGACTACCTCTCCCCCGCACTGTGAGCAACCAGAGAAGACTCTTTCCTTTGAAAGGGCTGTGATTAGGTGAAACCCACCCAGGTAATCTCATTTTCTCAAGGTTGTCTGTGCCATATAACATAACCTAGTCCATGGCATTTCAAGTCCTGGTGATTATACAGGGTTTGTACCTCACAGGAGCAGGAAACCTTGAGCCCATCATAAAAGCCTGCCTATCACAGATGCTCTTCAATGGCTCCTTTTATGTCCCAACAATCCTGAAGAAGCAGAGTTTAAAGTCTGAGAGTTTGGTTTTTTAACCATACTTCTGTGTTGACCTTTTTTTCCACTCTTAGCTTTTTAGATCAGTGTATCATTAGATTAAGAAACACAGGAGAAGAGATTTTATGATTTCATAATGAATCACATAAGAACCCACAGATTCCCAAGCTGAGAGAATGGCTTTGATTTGAACTGCAAGGGTACTGTGGATTCTCTCCCAGGCACAGAACTTTTTGAAATCTTCTGAGAAGCAGCACTGTTCCAGCCCTCCAGCCTGCATTCCGTTTACAATAGCCTACCCTCTTCTGTTTTAGACTGTTTCCGCTCTTGTCTGGTTAACGGCAGGAAGAATATTCTGAGTATCTGCCAAGGTCACCTGAAGACAAGGGGAAGCCAAGTGCTAAGGTTCTACTGTATCTTCTGGTATTTACTGGTATGATGTCACTTGAAACTAAGAGATCACAAAATGATAGATTCCTCCCTAGAAACATCTCTGAGGTAAGGCTGAAGGTCACATGGCTGGTGGAGTTACTGTAACTTTCATGAATACTGTTTTCCATCCCTCAGTCATACCATGTGGGTAGTTTCAATGCTGAATTAGGAGTTGGCTAAAACTGGACAGAACTGTGACATCCTAGACCAACGGGTGGGGCGGGAGGTAAGTCTCTCTCTCATGTGAGCCTTGGTTGAAATCTCCAGTTTTGGAGTAAGGCTGAAACTTCCCTTGTTTTGGACCCCCATAGAATTCCAGGTATCAGGCAGCAACAAAATCTTCTAAAATGCTGTGATGCAGAACAATTTTTATGTTATTCAAGCCACCCAAAGAGCCACGTCTAGTGAAAAGGTGGCACTGGGACCAATATTACGTATCAAGCATTTTAGGGTTCATCTAGCCCAGTAATTCTGTTTCTTACAATAGCTCCTAGAGATAATTTATAGAAAGGCATCATCTTTTGATTTTATCATAACAATAATTTCAAAAGTGCAGAGATGATTCTGAAATATTACCATTATCACCTAACAGCTTATGAATCAAAACTTTCTTTTAGCCTTGGATAAAACCATAAAAACTGAATATTATGTTCAACTAGAGTTTGAAAGCATAGAAAAAAGTGATCTGATTACTTAAAGGTAGATTTGAAAAGAGCTGGGCACCTACCAGGGTAAACTTTGGCACTGAATACAAATGAAAACGTTATTCCAACAAAAAGACAGTGTTATTCTGAAACAGACAAATGACTGGGAAGAAGAATTAAGAGAAAGATATCTCTCATTTAGAAACCCGAAGGTGGAGGTTTACACATAGTTTCTCTGTCCCTATTGCTGCTCTCTTATGAGAATAGAAAGCCGGGCAGGTGAGACAGAGACCGTGACAAAGCAACCAGTCCCTGGTCAGGGGAATTGCCTCTAGGGGTTTTTCTGCCCAGCAAATGTTAAACATTAAAGCACTAAAATCTGTCACCAACATATAAAACTGCTAAAATAAATAGAATCTGGATTTTGGTTAGCATATATAAAATAGCCAGAACTCTGGTGAATATGTCTGAGTTAACATAGAAATCTTCTTTCCCATTTTAAACACATAAAAATTTTGGACAAACTGTAACACACACACACACACACACACACACACACACACACACACACACACACACAAATAATGCCCCGTGCCAAAAATAAATGGAATTCAAAGTCAGAGCAGTGAGAGGGAGCCAAAGCCAAGGGACTCCTGGGGACACCTGGAATTGAGACAGGTCTGAGAGGTTGGTGGCAGGGTCTGGAATATCAGCTGTAGGACCTTCACACACAGGAGCTAGAGCCAAGCTTACAGAGACTGAGAAGTCATGTAGGGTTTGTCCATGCACAAAATGGGAGCTGCGTACCCTATGACCACCCCCAAAGAAAGTGACAAAGGGGCTCCATTTCTGCTTGGGACCCGAGGAGTAAAGGGGCTAGCTGTAGAACCCAGGCTGGGGCGGTGCATCTGTGCCAAGCCAGCACCCACTCCAGTTCCCAGGTCTCCACATTAATACACCAACAGTTGGTCCTGGGCCTGTAAAAGGCTTAGGGCCCTTAGCAGAGGCAAACATAAAGGCTCTGTTGAGATGGTCTCACTACCAGGTCACAGTTCATAAAGGAAAGCACAGCCCACAAAAGAAAGGCTTAATAACTTCAATTACTTGATCATTTTAAATTCCCATGAAACCTCAGCCACTACAGACAAAATTTAAATGACTAATGGAAGAAAAACATTTGTAACCCATATAACTAATAAAAAGAATGAATATCTAAAATTTGTAAAGAACTTCTACATATTAATAAAGATAACAATAGGCAAATGGACAAAAAGTATGAATAAGCAATTCACAGATGAAGAAAACTGCCAAATAAACATGAGGAGATTTTCAGTCTCACGAGCAGTCAGGGGAATCCAATTTAAAACAAGGAGCCACTGTTCACATTTATCAGATTGGCAAAAATCAAAAATAAAAGTTACAATATCTTATGAAATTAAAAGCATACAGATCTACAACATAGTAATTCCCCTCTGAGGTGCACCCTAAAGAAAGCCATGCACACATGTGCCAGTGGACATGTATGAAGTGGTTGCTACAGCATGGTTGCAAGAACAAAAATTTAGAAACTGAAATGTCAGCCACCAAGAGAAGGGAAAAGTGGTAGCGTGGTAGTCTAGTTAGATAATGGAACACCACATAAATCAGTTAAAAGGAGTTAACTACATCTGTCTATAAATGTGGGTATACCTTACAAAAATGTAAGGTTGAATGAAGAAGTACGTCTGAAGAAGACACAGTATGATAGTACTCATGAAAAAATTTAGAAGTCACAAACTACATATTAAAATATGTTAAAAGCAGTAGATGGCCTGGAAAGAGAAATAAAATTCATGGTTGAGTTTGCCTTTGAGGAGGTAAGAAGAGAAATGGAAAAAGTCCTCAAAAGAAGACTGTAATTTTATCTGTATATCAAATAAATCTGAAACAGAATGAAAATATTAACAATTTTAATGCTAGGTGATGAGCAGTAATGCATTTGTTATATCATTCTCTGTACTTAAAAAAATACTTTCTAAGTGTAAGAAGTATTTTTTAAAAGAACTTAAATAAAAACATGTCTTTTTCCTATACAATTGCAAGAACTTGACCATGAATTTGGCTCAGAGCTTACCTATTCTTTTCATTACTGTTCTTTAGTTGTTGTTGCTTTTGTGTGTGTGTGTGTGTGTGTGTGTGTGTCAGGCCAAATGTCAACAGCTCATCTACAAGCTGACAAAGGTCTCTGTCCCATCTTTCAAAATGCTTTCTCACACAGACATTTTTTGACAGTCATTTACTACACTGACGTTGGCCAAAATGCATTCCCAGTACACTTGGTCTTTGCCACGTTCCTACTTAGTACAAGATTTTATAAGTCACAAAACCTGTCTTTTCTTTACCTATAGCATCTCTTCTAATCACAAGTACCTGTGCTTGTGCAGGTTAATAAAATGGGTTCTCCTCCAGGTCTGTATATCTTTGAAGGTCCTATAAACTAAAGAAAAACTCCACTAGAACCTTATGAATCTTCCTAAGAACTGCCTATGAAAATTCCATGCCAAAAACCAAGATTAACCAAAGCTCAATCAGGTGATTTAAACATTCATTCACACATTCACAGCAACAGCGAATTTTATACTTTTTTTTTCTTCTCTTCTCGTTGTAACAATTCCTTCCTCTTCCACAGTTTCTCTTTCTCCTCTTCCTTTTCTCTTCTTCTGGCAGAAATTTCCATTTCCAGTCTTGCTACCTCTTCCTGTTGGGCTCGCCATTGAAGAACCTGAAATAATTAGAAATCCATTTCAATAACTGCACATATTCAAATGATTTTACTGATCACAATGAGACTAGGTTCTGTAACAAGCAGATGTCAAAGTTTTTCCAAATACACATTAATATTCTGTGTGCATATGAATGTCCTATGTGTGTAAGGTGTGTGTGTGTTTAGTGTTAAAAGGAGAAAGCAACTTTAAAATCACCTCAAGAGTCTTCACTTGGATTCATAGAGTGAAATCCTAAAGACTTTGTGAAGAGGCTTCAAAGGATCTGTGAATTCTCATAAATACTCTCATATGAATATAGTGTTTTTGCACAGGTGCATTTTTGCACAGGTGTGTTTTTCTGAAACAACAGTTCCAGTTTCTGTTCAACACTTGAGATTTAAAATAACTTTTTGGGTACTGACAGATGTTATTGGCAGAAGTATAACTGTACAGTACTTATTGGGCAATATGTAAATATGTATCACAATATAAAATAGGTATAGCTTTTGACCTACACCTGACTTTCAGGAAGTTATTCAGAAGATGATTGGACTGGTACACAAAAGTGTACCCACAGGAAGGTTCACTGCAGTGCTGCTTAAACACAAAAATTGCAAAGAGTCTAAGTGTCTGGCAATAGAAGAGAGCTTAAATTAATTATGGTACCTTCATACAATGACTGCCATTGAAAAAGGATGCTTTTTATCTATATTCACGGACACAGAAAATGTCCATAACATATGATCAGATGCAAAAAGCAGGTGCAAAACCACATTTACAGTATAATCTCATTAAAATGAATATCATTTATGTGTATCTACACATAGAAAGAGATTTAGAAGGAGGCTTACCAAAGTAATATATTGGCTATCTCTGAATACCATCATTTCATGGAGTTTTAAAAATTTATTTATTTTTTGATCCTTACCTAAGGACATTTTTTCATTGCTTTTAGAGAGAAAGAGCGGGGGGAGGAAAAAGAGGGAGAAACGTTGATGTGAGAGAGGAACATTGACTGGTTGTTTCCCTCAAGCACCCCAACCAGGGACTGAACCTGCAATCTAGGCATGTACCCTGACCGGGAATTGAAGCAACAACCTTTTTGGTTTACAGGATGATGCTCCAACCATCTGGGCTACACCAACCAGGCCTAAAAATTTATTCATTAAGCCGTTCTGTGCCAAATGATATTTTTACAATAATCACGTATTATCTTTGTAAGTAATGAAACTAAGACAGTAAAAACAAACACATGTTCCATGCACATGTGTAGCTAAGGAAGCAGAGAGGAGGGAGATGGAGAGATGTACAGAATTCTTTTAAGTAAGGGAAGAAACTAGCATTCCCAATTTAACACCTTATATTACATATTTGCTATATTAAGCATGACTCATTATGGTAATACTTAAAATGAAAATTGAATAAATAAAACTTCCTAAAATATTATGAATTGAAGTGATAGTCAATCTTTTTGCACTTTAACTATTCAAAGTTTGTTTTCTAAAAATATATTTGCCCTATATATCAAAATAACCAAGAACATTCAGACTCCATGTTTTCAAACACTCAGATTTTCTCATCGGCTGCCATCTGGCCGTCATATCTACCTTCTTCTTTGGAACTCCACGCCATAGTCCACCGGTAACACGCTGTGTCAAAATCAAGTGTCCTGTCAAGTGTTGCTAGTAATATCCCTCATGAACACCCAAAGGGTAGTCCTCAGTCCCCCTTTCCTGAACCTCATGGTGGTACTTAACCCTGTTAATCATCTCTTCATGTTTAAAGCTCTTTCCTTCCTAGGCCACACAGTGTTCTCCTCTCCACAGCGGATATTGCTCTTCTCTTTTTCCTGTTTCCTGTGCCCACCTTACACCTGCAGCTCTGCTGCTATCCTTTCCCTGTGACCTAAGACTGTGTCCATTATTGGATGTGCACATTCTCTCCTGTGAGTTAACCTATCACATCTATGTATCTGACTCTAAAATGTACAATGTCAGATATGTTTTTTTATCTTAAATCCCATCCCAACAAATGCTTAAAGCCTTTGGTATTTGTATAAACACCCAAAAATACAACATTCCCAGAAATAAACTCAACATCTTTAACTTTGCAACAGCTTCACACCAAGCACTGTACACCTGCCTCTTCTTTCAAACATCCTGGCCTGTTCGTGGAACCACAATGATCTCTGTAGTTTGTAATTTTTTATTATTATGTACCCCCATCAACATGAATAATTCTTTACATTTTACATTGGACTTAAGCAATCGTGTATTTCTTAAGCTCAGATGTGTTTCCACTTATGACACATCCACTTCTAAACTATTGAATTTCCATACGCCACTTCACTGTCATTCCATAGTCCACTCAGTCTATCTGCCAAATGCTTTTAGAATTATACCAAAAAGTTCATGAGGTGATGTCAATTTCTCCCACCAGAACCTGAATAATTCAGCTTTCTCACTCCCGACAAATGTGTAACCTAGCTAATGTGTAATCTCAAGGTAGGATTTTGCCTGCACCTTTCCTTATCGCTCTGAGCCTCATAGCCTAGTCCAAACTATTTCCCGATCTGAATGCCCTCTGCTTCCCCCTATTTCATAAAGTACTTCTTGGCCCAGCACGTATTCCATGTCTACCATGACTCATTCTCTAATCATGCTCACCTCCCTTTTCTTAATCTTCCTACCACACCATAATTGCTCTTGACTTTTTTTGAGCATAATGCTCTATTTCTTTTTAGAATAGGGTCCATGATATATATATATATATATATATATATATATATGTATATGTATTTTGTCTTTCCTTTTTACTGTCTGGCAGAGTGCTAGCACATTGTATGCTCAATAATTACCTGCTATTTATTTACCAAAATAAATATTTTAAGTGAAATCTAATAAATGAGGAAAAAGATACTGTTAGATTATGTCATTTTGAAACACCCAATTAATGAGTCCCTATTCATTATCATCAATGGCTACTAAACACTTCACACATTAATAGCTGATGGGAAACTTTGTAATGAATGGATCGGGCTGGCAACAATTGAACACACTGCACAACCTAACACCACAGAGAGATAAGCAGACATTTTGGCCTCTTGATGGAAGTATACAATATACTCAGGGACTTTTCTTGCCAAGAAATAAAAATGAATATGATCAAACCTCTAGGCATAATGATCAGGACACAGGAAATTCAGCCAATGGAGAAACATATTAATTAAAAGTATGAAAATGCAATCAGCAAAATTGAAATTTGAAAACTTTAAAGGACTTGAAAAATTACAAGACAAAAATGAGAACTATGGATTAAAAGATATTAAAAAAATTATCGACCAAATACAATATGTGGATCATATTTGGACTCTGATTTAAATAAACCAAATGTAAGAAGAAATTACAAAACAACTGAGATTTCAATATCAATTAGTTAGTTGATGCTATCAAGGACATATTGTTAAAGTTTTTAGGTTTGATTATAGTATAGCTATGCTCTTTAAAAGAGTCCCTTCATTTTGGAGATATATACTGAAATACTAACAGATGAATTGGTATGTCTGGGGATTTGCTCACTATTAATTATCCTGTGGGTATGGGAGAGGAGGTGAGGGTATGGATGAAAAATATTTGACTGAGTTGATGATAATTGTTGAAGTAAAGTGATGACAGAGTTTTGTATATGTTTAAGTGTTTTCACACTAAAATTTTTGTATTAAAAAAGCATAAAGTATAATGTATGCCCAAAGAGATTTTTATACTCAAATACTATAGACTCAAGGTTCTCAGGCAGTAGGAGGGAAGATTTGAGATACAGTGAACTAATGAAAAGAAAAATAGCATATATTCAGTCTTTCTGAGTACCGAGACTATTTCTATAAATTTCAATAAAAAGAAGTTTGGGCTTTAGAACTACTCTTCTTACCTTTTGTTTTAAGACTAACTTATGGGAATTATAATTAAAAGCTATTTGCATAAGTGATGTCATATAATTTAAAGAAGCCAATGCATAATAAACATCTGTAACTGGAAAACATTTCTGTTTCCAAAGATAAGTATAGCAAGAAAATCACCAGACCAATAAAACTCAGATAACCAAGTTTACCCACCAACGTACCCTTCCTTTTTTTTTTTTTGCAAGTCTAAATGATGTTTTGCCTGTTTTCTGGAAAAGATAAGATTACAGTTGCTTTTTAAAATGGGCAGACATACCATAAATGAAACAAATGCAAGTTCAGCAACCAAAGCCAATGGGTTGTAGCTGTCAAGTTATATATGAAATGCTGAGGGAAAAAACAAAACTCTCAGGCAAGTTAGCATCAGCCTTTAGAAATTTAATATTGGAATCACAAGAATAACCAGAGACCATTAGAGGTTTGATGTTTGACTAAAATCAATAACTCACCATATTACCTGTAATCATAACCATACACCCCCCCTCAAAAAAATGTGAAAAGTAAAGGAGAAAAGATTGTTGAAACTAGCATTATATCCCATGTAGCTAGAGTTGTGAGATTTTGATGAGAAACAGGCTCTGCAGCAATCAGTACCCAGGCACTAAGGTAACTGGGCCTTTTCAGAATACACAATGGATACATGGTCAACATTCTAATGGGGAAAGGGTACTATTGAAAAATCCTTATCCAATGGATGCCCACAGAGGCGGCCAGGGGATTTAGATAGCTCCCATGTGGAGAGAATGACAACCGATTATGGTATTTTTGAGATGTCCAAGAATAAGAAAGCTGGCAGGTAGGCGAAGAAATCAATATTAGCACAATAGGCAAAAGCACAGAAGACTTCTGAGTGAACATTGAGCAAAAAGGAAGAATAGCCTAGAAGAACAATGTAGTGGTTTTATCTTAAAGTGTTTGCTAATTATATAGCTTTAAACGGAGCATGCGAACATAACTGTGCAACAATAATAACCACAAAACAACATAACCACAGCGGCAGCCAGGAACGCATTATAAGGAAAGCACTGTTTAGGGTGTCTACAGGACATTTTTCCAGGT